GGGGGGGGGGGGGTCGCTCCCAGCTCGGGGTTAATGAAGTGGGAAAGGAGTCTTTCAGAGAGGCCTGCAAACAACCCCCCTCCCCGGGCAACAAACACCACCCCCCCCCTCAAATCCTACATGGATTGACTTAAACCCAGGGGATAAGTGCTTTAAATTAATCTCATTGAATAAGAATGAGGCCAAACAAAACTCTTTAAAATCATATTAAAAATCTATCAAAGGACAACTTGCAGTGGGTGTGCTTTTCATTTGTGAGCCCAAAGGCAAGGAGCATACAGCAACCTTCCTCCCATTTACACAGCAGGAATGGGAATCAAAGACATTCTCTAATATTTAATTGTCCTTGTAGCCGTAGCAGATTCCTCCTCTTACATTAATGAAGTACAAGGCTTCGTTACACGTTTGTAATTGCAATATTTAAATTTGCCATCGCACATCTGGAAGAGGCTGGAAACTCCCCTGTAACGGGGGGTCTGAGGGCCGTGGCTGTGACAGGGTCTGGTTTGTGGTAGAAGGTTGGGAGGAGAGAGCGGAGCAGAGCCCTGAGGAAACCTCGGCCCCGGGAAGGGGAAATGGCCGTGCTGGGTCTGCCCAGGAAGGAAAGAGAGCAGAGGGGAAGCGAGGGCTGGAGCAGTCTCCTCCAGGGAGATCTTGTAGCAGAGTCAAGCAAGGCAAGCTTCAAAATAAATCAGTTTAGGGAAGACACCACACACTGTGGGCCCCCATCAGAGAGCACCGCACTTGCCCCACGAACAGCGTCTTGTGTGGGAGGATCCCGGCAGCCTCAGAAGCTGCTGAAGGACCAGCCTCACCTCCAGCTTGCGTGCAGGGACCCACTGTCCACCAGCAGAACCCACCAGCACTGGGGCTGCACCTACAGCGGCCCCTGACCAGGCTGGAAACTCATTTCTAGCAGCTGGTGCCAGGCGGGCACGATCCTGGCAAGTCCTGGGGCGTGGGACAGGCTGTGGTGGGTTGAAATTAGATAAAGTGGTAAAAATGGCACAGTTGAGAAGGAACACCAGTCCCCATTAAGGAAACCTTTGGAGTACTGCACCAGTTCTGTGCCACCGATTTCTCCCGGGGTACAGATGCTCCAGCAGACAGGCTGCTGGGGGTTGGTTTCAGGCAGCTCCAGGCTCTGGATCCAAGACACAAACCAGTTAGTGCAGTGGGTTTGCCAGGACCAAACACAATCCTGGCTCTCAAGCCCCTTCTGGGCTTTTACCCAGCTTGAGGGCCATCTTCCTCCCCTCCCGACACAGCTTTAACCAGGACCACCACCCTGGGAACAGACAAAGAACAAAAGCTGCTCCTCTGAACATGCCAACACACACAAATCCAATGAAATCAGCAGAATTGTTCCTAGCCAAGATATTTTATGGTTTCATCTGAGCACCAAACAAAATGATGCCAGAACGAAAAGCCCAGAACAATCGGTGCTTTTCCTGCTCTCTCCCCAGGCTTACAGAGAAAATAAGCTGTTGTAAACAGGGAAGTTCTGTCGCTGACTGTCCTTAGTTAGGGGTGCTTCTCAGCAGTGGGGTACCAGGGCTAAGGTGTCCTGTGTTTGACCTAGATGCTGAAAGCGGGTGTTCAACTGTGCCCCTTGACCCAAGGTGACCTCCTTGCTTTTTCCTGTCCCAAAGCCTTGAAGGGCAAACTCAAGATGCTCCAGCTGCAGAGGAGGATGTGGCCTCCTGTTACTGGCAGAGGACACAGAGCCAGAAGCAAGATGAAAAAAGGTGCACCAGAGCATCTCCTGGGTGAGGCAGGACTCCAGGCGAGAGAGCAGGGAGAAGCAGCAGGGAAGGCAAACCCAAACCACGTCCAGGTAGCTTTATAGAAAAGCTACACAGGGCCAATATTTCAAGACCAAACGCAGAAACATCAAGCTTCAGGGCAGCAAGGCCCCTGCTACTTATCACAAGACAAGAAAGCAAACCTCACCAAAGCCAATGCTGGTGCAGCCAGAGGAAGGTGCAGTTTCACCGGGCGCTGCCAAGAGCTGACCCCCCCTGCCCTTCCGAGCAGTTCCCAGCCAGCCAGGACCCCTGCGACACGCCACACACCTCAGAGCAGGAGGGGACAAATCCAGGAGCAGCTCAGGGTGACATCCACCTGCTCCATGCCAGGGCTGCACCCAGGGAACCCACCGTGACCCCAGCAGCTCCTCCAGCATTCAGGCGCTCAGAGGACCTGGGAGCCTCTGCGCCCACAACACCCCACTGATGGGGCTCTGAGCTCGGCCACCCCTGCTCCACACCCCCTGCCCTGCCTTGGTGAAGAGACGCTTTGTGTTGAGTACAATTTAACTCCAAACCCTCTAGGTTCTTCTCAAATTGTGCGGTGAGTAAGGATAAAACCATCTCAGAGCCCAGCTAGAGCTGCCAAAGCGTAAAAAAGGGCAGAATTTGGTTCCTGCTGACCCAGCTACAACTCAAACACATTTTGCACATCGGCCTTCAAGTTTATTTAGGGCAAACTTGGCTTAGCTTGAGGTGCATGTGCATTTAACACTCTTTCTTGTGTAACAGTCTCCTCTTCTTCCTTTCCCTAATCATGCAAGTAATCCAGCACTATCTGCTAAAAGATGGTGAAGCTGAAGGAAAAAAGCATTCTTTTTTTTTTTTAAATCACATTATTCATCGTAACTGCTTGTAATGTTACAGGCCCAGTTAGTACAGACAGCAATGAGATTTCCTGATGTCTCTCACCAATGTGCTGTTGGCCTTCATTCCTACTATTATGAATTTGCCAATAGTCCCTATTAATTCATAAGTGACAGTCAGCCAGGAGAAGGTCATGTATTTTCCCCTCATGCACACTATCAGTTCTTCCCAAACTTACACTCTCTGCATCACTCTGAGTCATTTTCATCCTCAGGGGTTTCTTTTCTGTTTAAGTTGACATTTGCCTTAAACCCGATTACTCTTCCAAACAGCACTCATAACAAAATCGGGTGGGCTTTGTTGTTATTTTATCTTAATCTAATGAATGTCAGCAACTTCATGCTCTCTGCAATAACATGATCAATTTTATATTGGTGCCTTTTTAACATCTTTCTGAAGTGTTCAAGAGTACTGCAGTAAAATCAGTGTGTTTGCTAATTGCTTGTGAGGAAAAAAGATTTGTTTCTCATAAAGTTACATTCACTTCCGAAATTAAATACTTTTGGATTGATTGTTTCCCTCCCACAGTCTTTAGTATGACTCACTATAGCCCAAAGTAGGTGCCCTCAATTCTGTATGCACAAAGCAGGTATCATTTTCATCTGGTTATGCACCTTTTTCAGTACTTTTTTCCCTTCCAGCACCTGAAATTGCCACTGGATTTGAGCACTTTCTGGTCCTGCGTTATACAGCATGCCTGGCTTGGGTCACGGGTGGGCTGCTCTTCATCTCTTTCCTTGAGGAAGACACACGCAGGCAGCAGAAAGCTGTTTTGGCAGGGTTTAGCACCGTTTCTGGATGTGTACTGCTTGCTTGTGTCACAGGAGGTGCTGGAAGCAGCGCAGCGAGGAAGGCAGGCAGAGGGAGGTGGGTGCTCACCTGCAGGCCCTGGGGAAGTTTGTACATCTCCTGCAGGCCCTGGGGGGGACCTGCTCTCCCCCTCTCCTCACCAACTCAAAGAGGAGCTTTGTCACGGACTCCACTAGAGCTCGGGTTCCATTTCACATGCTGGGCAATGGTGAAGGAGCCTCGACACATTTGGGGCCATACTGCATCCTTTTTCTCAGCAGCCCCAGTTCTCTGATAAGCAAGAACAAGATAAAAACAAACGGGAAAAGCAAGAAGTGAAATCCGTTAGCTTGGGACGTACTCAAAACAGGTGTAGCCAAAGCAGAGAGAACCCCCAAACCCAGGGTTACTACTGCTAAGTGTTAGCAAGAGCCTTGCAAAGACTTTAATGTTCAGAGAGGTGAGACATTTCATACATACTCTGCATTATATAATTAGGTATGACAATATGCTGCAGGCAAGGAGAAGTTTGGAGATTGCTGGATTCCACGCTGGCTCCTTCCCACAGTGACAACGTTTGTTCCCAAACTCAGGAGTTTTGACATGAAGTTTTGTGCCCATGAGCTCTGCCCCAAAGGGACCATGTGTCATTATACTGAAGAGTTCTCCACAATCCTGCTGCTTGCACTGAAATCGGGAGGTTCCTTCCAGGGGGCAAAATCTGACTAATGATCAGTGTCCAGGGACAGACCTTGCCCCAACGCACAAGGACAGGAGAGAAGGTGGCAGCAACGTGGCTACGTTACCTGAGACAAGAGCAAAGTGTCCCCCTGGATAGTGAGAGGGGAAAGGGCGGCCTCCCCTCTCCTCTTAAACATGCTCCTGGAAAACCTCCTCTGTCACTACTGTTTATCTGGTTAAAAACAAGCAAGTAAGCAGATTGTGGAGTGTTTCTACAGGTCTTTTAAAGAGGGAAGCATCTCCTGCCTGAGTACTTGCCTTGCTTTCACGTTATATAGACATCACATTTCTCTGAGAACTATATTTAACATTTTTTATTTTTCTTGCAAAAACTATCTTAGAAACTCTCTGCATCTTCAGGAAGCCACATTTAATTGCAGCAGTGCAATTAAATCCAGGACACACCTGGATTCGATTCCATTTGGACCTATGGAATGAAGGGGAGGAGGCCAAGATCCCCAAGACCCCTCCCATATTTGCCTGATAAACTGAAACACTCCTCAGTTGATTTGGCAGGTCACCCTGACCCCCGGCTGAGGCACTCGAGCAGGTTTCGCAGCCAACGACTGGAAGGTCCCGGCTTATGTTGGAATCTGCTGGTTGCCAGGTTTTCTCTGTTTTTTCTTCTTGACCTTGGATACACCAGTGTCCATCCCACTGGAATATTCAGATCGCAGGATCTCAGCAAGGCGATGTTTGCCGTGGGTCTTCCTGAGAAGGTCAGACCTGGGCAGAGGGAAGAGAAGAGGAATTAGATTTCCTTCTCCCTGAACTGCTGCTAGGTGGGTTACTTATTTTACAGCCGTGGAAAAATGACATTTGCGCATTAGCAGAAGAACAGCTTCCTTTTCTTGAGGCTTGATTTGAAATTCTGTCTCATGCAAAATTAGATATTGTTGTGACAGGTTTTCACAAAGGTGGCAAAATATCATGCCGTTTTTAAAAGCAAGCCTTTGTTCTGTACAAATGCTCTTGCAGGGGTGGCGGGGAGAAGGAGGGAAGGTTGTGTGCTGAAGGCTGATGAATTAGGTGACACAGCAGTTTGAAAATTAGAATAATAATAAAAAAAAACCCCTAACAGCCTTAAGACATCGAACAATGGAAACATTTTATAAACAGAGCTTAAATCCAGAGCTTGAAAACACAAAAAAACCCAAACAAACAAGAAGAAAGAAAAAAAAAAAAAAGTCAGGAGTCTAAACCCAACAGACTCTTTTCTTGCAGTGTCCTGCAGACATCACATGCACCTTACAGCCTTCCTCTCCAGAGACCAGCTTTTGCAAAGGTAGCTGCATTCTGCCCAGCCACTAAACTCCAACATGGATCTCCCTGTAGCCCTAAACTGCCAGCTATAAATATAAAAAACCCACTCAGCATTTTTCCACCACAAGTTCTGCCACTGTCCTGCTCTATAACCTTGGGCAAATCTCATCCTCACTGCTGCTATCGCTCTCGCTTGTTTAAACTGCAATCCCTTCGGGGCAGGACCTATCGTTCCCAACAACATTCCCATGGTCCTGGGCACAACGGGGTATCCACAGCTATTGGTGTCTGGACATCCCGCTCTTCTCTTTATAATAAGGACCACAGAATCCCAGAATCGTCTCGGTTGGAAAAGACCTTGAAGATCTTCCAGTCTAACCATTAACCTTCACACTGACCATTCTCCACCAGATCCCTCAGCACTACGTAACAGCTCTCAAAAATTTCCAGAAGTGAACACAAGTCCTAAAGGCTGGTGCCTTACAGCACTGCCTTTCAGGGTTCCTTCAGCTGTCCAGAACAGTGGTGGGGATCACAAGAACTATTTTTGGCTGCAGCAACAGATCAATCCATTCATTAGGCCAAACACACCAAGGCAGCAAGGGACGCAAGCTCTTGGCTGTTGAGGGTATTTGCTTGCTCCCTTTTCCACAGCTTATTTTCCATCCCTGTGTGGGTTTCGTGGCTGGAGTGGGTTTGGAAGGATGGACCAGAATGATGAGAAAGATGGTGTGATTACCACTGAAAGATGGTTTTCCTGAGAATAGAAAGCCTGGAATACACATATGAAAAGACTGTGCTACCTTTGGGTGCAGTCCCCAATCTCACCCTAATTAAACATGGACAGAAGGGCTAGAGACTGGACATCCTGGTGAAATAAGACACAGCCACCACTCGGTTTGAACCCACAGAAACTAAACCAAAAAGACAATCAACTCAAAAGCAACTGTACAGCTAACGAAGCAGCCATGCTGCTGGTGAAGCTGTCCCTGCAGTACCCCCAGAGCAGACGTGCCCTGCGGAAGGGCCTTCCCAAAGGCACGAGCCACAGCAGCACGGCGGGCCAAGGTGTGCCCTCCACTAGCCCAGCTCTGCTGCAAGAACTCTGTAGCGCAGCTCAGCCCCCTCCATCACTTGATAAAGTTTCTATCTGACACTTTCATTGTGTCTCCAAGCATTTACTACAGTAATTCGAGGGTTACCAAGCAACAGATCAGTTTACTTAACAACAGGGAACTATCTGTTGCAAAAGGACAAGTAATCCACCAGTAGCTGCCGGGCTGAGTTGCAGCTCAGCAGGGAGGTTGTCCAACGCTTTATTATCAATCAGGTGAAATCATTGCCCAATTAGTAAATCAATACCCCCTGCTGTGGTGATCAGCTGTACATAGAAGAGCAAGGATGCAGGGAAAAGGGAGGTTTCTCCCTCTAACCAGGGCCACAAAAATCAATGGAGCTGTGCTGTGGAACCTGTGCTGATCACGGAGAGAAGAAAAGCAGCTGTCAAGGCCCTGTTTAACAACGAGATGGAAGAGCCACAGGCAACAACAACAGTCTGCAGTTGACAGCACACCAGGAAAATGCACGTGGTCAGGATCCCTGGCCAGATTCTGATTCCTGTTGTAAATCTTAAATTCCCCTCCCTGTCAAGTGATGAAAGCCTCTGGGGCTCTGCCAGAGCCAACCAGATAACATCTCGAAGGAAAGGCGCCCTGTGGTTATGAGACAAAGCCCAGGAGAACAGAGCAAGACCTTGATACTCACCCTCTGAGTATCCTTGGGCAAGGTATTTAATCTCTTTGGCCTTCATGCCCATTCTCCCACCTCATACCCTGGGTCAACTGCATTTTCCCTGTTGCCGGAGGCTGGTGTGATATTAATTTAAGAGAGTTGTGTGGTGAGACTGGATCCTGTGGCAAAAAGCTTCACAGAAAGGATGTAAATGTAAGATGCATTTGCAACACAGACAGAACCCATGTTCCCATCACTGGATAAACACATGGATTGTCAGCATCTCTTTCTGTGATCTCGTGTCTAGATATCACGCTATATTGAGCCCTAATGAGAACACATCATGTTGATAACGGGCAGAGAAATCCCCAGCCCTTTAAATCCCTCCCTCCAAACACAACAGTCTTTAGGTGGGGAACTACAAAACATCACAGCTAAAGGAAACTTGCAAGGGGAAAAAAAGATTCACTAATGACTGACCCGTCCCAATGTGCTACAGTGCCAAGATTTCAGCAGGGCTTAAAGGAGAAAGGAATGTTCAAACGGATGAGAAAATAGCCGCTTTTATCAGCTGGGGGAAAATGAGACAGGAATAGAGAAGTCATAACTCAGAAAATGAAACAGCCCCCACACGCGCGTTAGGAAGAACCTCTCCCTGAACACGAGCTATTTGACTTCTCTGTGTTACTGGCCAGCACACTGGGCGTTGAGTGCTGTGATATACTGGATGCCAGGCAGAAGCACCGCTGGACTACTACTCTTTTACGCTAGATATGGGGTATCAGGACTCCCATAAAAGCCAGATGAGAATTGTTAAGTAGTCAGAGGAGCCAGCAGAGATGAGTTAGCACCACCTTCTAACTTCAAGTGGGGGAAACATCATCCCTTCACTTGCAAGGCTTAACCCTAGACCCAACCACTGCTTTGGGCTTTATGTTCCAGGTATAGGGCAAACCCCATATCACCCCAGATCTATCTAATCACCTCATTACCAAGGGGAGAGAAAGGTGCTTTGCACAGTGAGGAAGGGAAGGCAGAGAGCCTAGTTATTGCTTGGCATGGTCTGAGAAAGCTCCCCTCCTCCTCACGGAGACAGAAGAAGGAATAAAAGACTCAGGTTTACAGCTGCCTGTGCACACCTGTAATTAAGCTGCAACCTCACAAAAGCTGGTACCAAGAGCCTCAGCAGAGAGACAGTAAGGAAACAGAGGATCTGCCCCCAGATGACTTTGTTACATTCTGAAAGGCCAGGAAAGACCAAGCCAGAGACAAACTTTTAAAGACAAAAAACCCTCTGTCCTCCTCCAGAAAACTGTAATGATTTTATTCACTCTTTAAACATGAGAAACCCGTGAATCTTGCTAAATACATCACTGAATGATGAAACAGCAGGAAAGGAGCATCTAGAAGAAACGAGACAGAAAAAGTGCCCAGCGAAGAAAAGAGAATAAAATCCTTCTTTCCTCTGCTTCAGCTTCTGTCTACCTCCATCTGCAGGGCCACTCCCAGCACGCTGCTCCCCTTCCCCACGCCACTCAGGAGCCGCAGTGGTCTGCAGACATGCTGGTGCTGCCCAAGCCTCTACCTCAGAGGAAATCTGAATGATTTGGTCTGGTCTCCTCTTCTGGACCCTTGACTCTCAACCGTTTGCATTGCTAGAGAGTACTGGAAAAGATTCAAGGCAAATCCTTTTTCACATAATGAAAAAAAAAAAAACCCAAAACCCAAACAGGTGAACATAGCACAGGTGATTAGCCTGAAATTCTCTGTTGTTTCCAGCTCTGTCTTCTGCTTCACTACACAATACTAACTCACCACAGAAGTCCCACCTTGTTTACATGTAACACATCTTCAAGACACTCAGTTTGTGACTTCCCCACACCTTGGGTGATCAGTGGCTTTGGGAGCTCTGAAGACACCATCTGCTGAATTCTACACTCACTAGCGACAAGCTGGTAGAGTAACAAAGACTACACTGTGGCAAAAAAAAACAAAGACAAGTATACTGAACAAAGTTTTGAGAATGTTCAACATAGCTGAGATCCTGCAGACAGCTCCAAGGCACAAACTATGAAGGACAAAAGCATGCATGAGCTGTTCTGTTTTCTATATAACATCCTATTCATCTCCCAAGCATTACTGATAAGATCATAAGAACAATCAGCTGATTTTGCCAGACTGGATTTGTTACAATATGCAAACCATGATCCTGGATATGGATACTCAAAACATTCAGGCGTGAAAGGACCAAGTGACAACTGTAAGAAAGAGAATGAATATCTGACACCATTTTAAATTTTCATTTCAAAATTCTAATACGTATGTTTCATTGACACATCTGCTTCTTCAGAGAACTGAATCACCAGCTGATCTTCAAGCCAAAAACTCCTACATGCCAGAGCAGTGGTACATGTACAAGCATGGATTCTTGTACCATTTGATGGCTCAGAAGATACCTCTGCTAGTCTTTTTACCTGAATGGTGAGCAAGCTTGTTCTTAGAGATGTCTCCTTCAACTTGGTTGGCATTGCTGTCTGTTCCTTTGTCCTGAGCTGTGTGAAATGCTGGTGCAGTGCAGTGCAGCAAGTGTAGTGACCTTTAATCAACTCACAGCATCTGCAGCAACCAAAGGCTCCCAAATTGCTCCAGCTGAGGAAGGAGTATAAAGTTCTGATGCACAGTCCCAGAACTCATGGTGTGTCTTTGGAGGAGACAAGAGTAGGCTGTTTCAT